CAAAGTTTATTACGTCTTCTGTAGACAAGTACAAACGTGCAAGCGATTTGTGAAATGTGAGAGGCACTCTAAGCTTTTATACAGCTCAGAAGATAGCAAAGCAAACAAGAACCGAGGTAATTCTAGACTATGAAGGTAGACTTTCAGGAAATTATTCGCCCTTCTGCCGCGAGAATAGTGGCTGCATAATTATATAGATAATCTGGAACAGTACGAGTAGAAGACCGGTCAATCGTTGCCAAGAAGTAGGTTGCAGTGCACTTACCATAAAAATAGACTTGAAAGATGTAATCCGTGATATTTGTCGACACGGTCAAAGCAGGACAACCACACAAACACAAACGAGAGGGAACAGCTCCTTGGAAGTTTCAACACGATGTGGCGCACAAGCTGTCATTTGCCGAACCCAACCAAACCGCAAGAATTCCTGACTTCTTTGAAGAATCGCTTGTTAACGATATAGGCGTAGGACTTTTCGAACACTGATAGCTTTGGTGCACATCCAATACGTTGTCGAGAGACATCCTAATTGGCCTGTTCGGCTGAAGTTTCGCCGCGCATACGCAGCGCCACATCCTCCCCTGGGGAGGGGTGGCCGTTTTATTTAGAAGTAGCGAAGCAGACGCGGTCCTGGAGGCGTGCATGTTTTGTACGCTTCACGCGATGGAGAATATAGCGTCGAAGAGTAGAAGAAACAGCAGGTATTGTTGCGTGGTGAACTGCCACAACAGCGAGGCCAACACGAAGGGAAAAGTTCCTCTGGTGAAGTTTTATTCGTTTCCCGGGAAGTGGTACGAGACAGATCGCCGAGATGCTTGGGTTAGGGCTGTGCGGAGGACGGGGTGAGTGATTGTTTTCTGCCTCTACGCGTGATTAAATAGCTTAAATACACTAAATTGCCTCGTTTTCTTTTTCTTTAATAGCTCTGATGGCTCTCCTTGGGTGCCAACAAAGTCTACGCGAATTTGCAGCCAACATTTCGTCAATAACACGAAAAGTGAGATTGAGGCCAACCCAGCCTACCTGCCAACTTTGTTCCCCGATACATACAAAAAGAGGCGTGTAAGCGGCGGAAGGCACGAAAGGTAAGATGAAGCATATAATTGTAGTCCGAATTTCGCTCTGACTTGCACGCATTCTTTTCTGATTGTTTACTACAGGTGGGCGAATCGGAGTCGCTCCGCTGCCTGTAACTTGACCCCACCGCCTCCGCTCGAACCGTCTTCGCCGGAGGCGTCGGAGCTGCCGGAAAGCGAGGGCTCACCGGACTCGGACTTGGAGCAAGACTTGCAGCTTTTGGCAGACGTGGCATGGGATGTGCAGCCGCTTCCGTTGACTGCCGAAATGGTAAGCTGCTTTACAAAGTTACAACCGCACGGGTTCTGATATGTGCCCAAACAGTTTATCCGTTTTTTTTTTTTTCTTTGTATTTCGCAGGAAACGCAGACAGACGCTGCAAACAGCAAGGGACCTTTGCAGCTCATGCTCTCTGCCACTGACGGAGCTCTTGGATTGACACAGGTGACTCACATCCCCCAAGCAGACAAGGTAGTTTTTTTGTGTATCCTTAAGGCACGCCACAGACGTTTGGTCATTAAATTCATTAAACAGAATTCTTAAAGATGAAACATTTGACAGATGATGTTAATTGAGTTTCGAACGGCTAAGGACTAGTAAATTATTGTGGAGAACATAAAATGGTTGCCATGCCCCTCAACATCATTCGAGGAGAGTAAAGAACTGATGTATGCCAAAAGCAATTGGACCGTTTCTGAGAAGCGTTCTGCACACGCGCGAGCGCCCGACGCCAAGCGGCGGAAGTTGGCACGAGTAATCGAGAAATTCGGAAGGAGGCCGTGGATCAGCGAGTAGAGCGCGTAATTGGAGCTAATATATCTAATTGTGTTAAATAATTGAAGAAAATGGACGGAAAGAAAAACAACGGTTGGGTGGACGCCACGGATGCCCCTCTTTAAAGGCGCGTTGGTCGCGCGACCAGTCAACAACTCTATAGGGAAAAAGTACCTAGAATGGCAGCTCTAGCTCTAATTATTGTAGTTGTCAGCTGTGCAACCTGTGCTTCACCAAAGTCACCAGCTTGTCACGTTTTCAGCGTCTCTTCCTATAGAGTATGGTCAGTCCTCCCTCCCGAAGTTCTGCCCATGCTCGCCCAACTTTTGAAAATCCGCCAGATTGAGCGAAAGTTTCGTATGTGATTGGCCATCCCTCAATGGGGCGGGGCGCCGGCGTCTCTTATCGGCGCTGGGGACGTAGAACACCGTCGTTTGGCTCCGGCGGCACGATTTCGGTCCGAAAACCCTCTCCTCGGGCGGGAACGCCGCCCAGTTCTATCACCGGGACGGGGTAAAGAACGGCTGTGTGAATGAGGTTTTAAGGCCTTGTGGGGAAGGAACAATAAGCGTGTACTCCGAAGAAATGAGCCGAGACAAGGAGAAGCGACTGGTTCGCGCGTTCTACTGGCGTGCATCTGTCTCCAGGCGCGCGAATGTTGCGCGCCCGAGAACATCCTCTTTTATGCCGAGTGCTCAGCGCATGTCACGCTCTGCATCTGTGGCCACTACAGCCTTTGAACTCCACGGGACGAATATGCTTCGAATAAACGACGAATTTCGCCTGGCGGCTTTTCCTCTGCGCGTGGAATCACCACAGTGGCTGCTACGTCGCGCACAAAACGAGCGTGCCGTCGACCGGCGTTCGCCAGTTATTCGTCGCATAATTTGTTCCATGGAGTTCAGCCTTAATGCTTCTGGGCCCTTTTTCACTAAGCAATAACAGCGGCTAAAGTTAGCCGCTGTACCTAGGAGAGGGATTTTGAAATCGTGTGACTGGCTCGGTAAGGATGCGGGGAAACATGGCGGTGCCCCGGTGAGTGAGTGCAACTCGCTTTAAAACTGATATGTCGTTGTAGCTGCAATATTGGGCGAGTTAGTCAGCAATGAATGGTGCAGGAGGCTTTCGCTTTGCCTTACCTCACTTAAATCACAAAGCATGAGCAATGACCTCGCCGCATTTTTTCGATAGTCTCGATTCTGGCCATTCCTAAGCCTAAATGAATGCAATAATTGTCGGCATGGCAACGTCTTTGGAACGTGGATTGCTTTGACTCAATCGGCAAGGTATTGATAGCACACAAAAGCAGACAGCGTCCCAATGTACCTTTTTCTAAATTTCCCAAGCACCGAGATGCTTGGTTGTCCCTACGAAGCTGATCAGGAGGTATGAAAGTCCCTAGGTGCATACCTTCGTACTGCTCGGGTGGCTCGCGTGCCATTGCGCACGTGCCGCAGCTCGGATAGCGAAGAAACTGATAGCGTAGCTCCCATTATCAATTGGTAGTGCAGGTCACTTCCTCGGTTTTTAGTTCGTGCAGCCACCGCCTGGTGCCGTCAGTATGTGGAAAAGGGCCATTACAGGAATCGCATATAGACCAACTCATGTTTATAAACAAACCAGAGCACCCCTAGCGGACGCCAACGGTGCTGCGCATGCGCGATGGAGTGCGGGCATGAAGCTCGCTATCGCCCATAAACAAACCATTGGAATGTGATGTTGTCGGCGTCGGTGTGAGTCCGCGTGCTCGTTTTCGCGTTGGAATTGTTGATTTTACGTCTTCCTGGCAATGTCCGACTACTTTAGCGGCCTCTGTGAAATTAACGGGGCTTGTTACACTGCAAAACCTCGCGTGAATAATCTGACATCCACAATTCATTCCGCGTGGACACTAAAGCCTGATTCACATGAGATTCTGCTTGATATTTTCAGTCACGACATCGCTCGGGCTACAATAATGTGAATCGTAGCTGATATGGTTGACGTCGGTACTGAAAACCGCAAGCAGAATCTAACTAAGTGAATTGGGCATAACAATTGTCAGTGATGGCCACTGGTAACAATTATCAACATCTCCTTGTATGTCCACACCGAGCCTAGTTACCGCTACAAACCTTGAAACTTAAGCCTTTTGAGGCCTGCACTTGCTTACTGCAATTTCCGGGTCAATGTACGGTCTACGGGACGCTGTCGTTTGAACGAGCAGACGACAACAAGCAGAAAGTTTGAAAGAGCAGACAGTTCGAAAGATCAGGCGGCCTTTTGAACGAGCAGACTCACTGAACGTAATCCACAGGTGGTCTGCGCAACTTTGTGGTCTTCCTGCGTTCGAGTTTTAACAAAGCAAATAATGCTGACGACCACAAGTATCCGTGAATTCAAACCAGAGTGCTTGCTGCGCAAGCAATCGTGGTCCGACGGCGTCTGGTTTTCCTTTTTCACCATCTCGGACGAACCATGCAGGCAGAAAACACAAAACTGACCTTCAAAACTTTTCCAACTCTTGTGGTACAGCCCCGGTCATAGCGTTTTTACGAGAAGGCGGGTTTTTGTTTGGTTTCTTCCAAACAAACACAGCAATACTTGTACCGCATAGGAATTTCTGTTGACTTTCGCCCACAACTTCAGACCTGAAGTGTGCCCTACGCGCCACTACCGTGCCGTGACTTGACAGCAAAGTTTGTGTATACTCGTTTTCACCTCAAGAACTGCACTAAAAATGTTCGACTTTTTGTGGAGCATTCTAATTTTCCCCTTTGTGTGGCGAATTAGGATACTTAAATTTTTATTTAAGATCAGTTAGTTATATCATTAGGACGCACACATTTCCAATGCGAAATTCATTGTGTTTTATCTGACATCCAAATGTTGTATGTACTACTTTGCTCAGCAATGAATCATGCATAGAACTAGCCTTAGTCTTGACTTGAAAATGGGTATAGTAGACAATTAGTATACTGCTTCTTGGGTTTAAAATAGTGATGTCTTAAATATGTGCAACTGTACTAATTCGATTCTAGGTCACCCATCCTGAAAAGCCTTGGGCAAGGAGATGTGGTTTTCTGGGGTACGAGTCTATGAAGACGTCGGAGCACCTATTTCAGGATCTTTGCTGCGTGACTGCAACAGTGTTCACCGTCCTGCTCAACATGCTCCCTGAGCAACGGTACCGTTCGTCAGATGTGACCAAAGAGGACAGATTGGTCCTTTTTTTGATGAAATTGAAGTTGGAAATCAGCTTAACAGCACTGGGTGCCATCTTTGGCATCAGGAAGTCGACTGCATCGAGAGTCTTTAGGGTAACACTAGATTGCCTGAGTGTGAAGCTGGCCAACTGGGTGTTTGTGCCTCCTCGACAAACAATCAAGGACACACTCCCAGTGTGCTTTAGGGAGCAGTACCCGAAGTGTACATTCATTATTGATTGTACTGAGGTCCGTACTGAAACGCTTACAGATGCAGAGGCACAGCACTATCTTTACTCACATTATAAAGGGTGCTACACTTTGAAGTGGCTTGTGGCGATCCTTCCGAACGGAATGGTATCGTTTCTTTCAGGGGTCTACGGTGGAAGACATTCAGATTCTTTTATCACTCGTGATTCTGGATTTTTGACCCTCGTGGAGCCAGGCGATGTCGTCATGTGCGACAAAGGCTTTCCTGCCATAAAAACAACCGTGGCGGAAGAGGGAGCTATCCTCGTGATGCCGCCATTCAATGTGGGAGGAGGGCAACTGTCTAAGCAAGACGTGGAAGACACTTTAACTATTGCACAAGTGAGAGTCCATGTTGAAAGAGCTATCCAAAGGCTCAAGCTTCACAACGTTTTAACGAATCGTGTACCACTTTCTTTGATCCCGCACATGGAGAAGGTGATGAAGGTGTGCGGCGGGCTAGTGAATATGCAGAGCCCAATCATTAGGACTTCAACGAATGTTGACTGTCTTGGGCTAAATCAGGGCAGTGTTTCAAAACTTCGTCTTAAAAACATGATATAAAGTGGACTGTTATTGCTTTCAACATGTATTCAGTTTATTGGTATCACAGTACTTCTAGAGGGCCCCATAATATTATGCTTCCAACTCTCCCAGCAGGATCACCTGGGCTATGCTGGCACCGAGCCACCATTTGGTCAGTTTGTTCGTAGGCTACATGCTGGCATTATTCGTTTGTACAAAGAATGTTCCCCCTGGCAACAATACAAGCAGAGTTCTACGAGTGAGTGTTGAAAAACAGCAGGTTCCCGGAGACATAGATTGTAGCTGAAGTGGGTAAAAAGGTCAAATTTAAGTGGTCTCGCAAAGTTCCTGGAGCAAGAAAGAAAAATAAAAAAATTCTAGCTTTGGAACAATCTTTGCAAGAAGGCTCATGTCTGTGTTCACGAAAATCTTCTTGGTCTGCTTGGGGCTCCAAACAAAAAAAACCTGCTCGACTCAAGTTCAAAATGTAAAGTTGAAGCTGCAATTGCGTGTAGTAGCTGTGCGACTTTTTCACAACCAGCTTGCCAGCTTCACGATCCAGGAAGTCGACACAGATCTTCTTGGTAACCTTGTCAACAATGGGTGCAAACTCGCACCTTGCTGGACACTTGATCTCGACGACCAATGTGTGGCCCCGGTACCTCATCAGTCCGTCGGGGCTACAAGCGAGCCATGGTTGCTCTGGCAGTGCAACGAGTCCAGTCTGAAAAATAGATCAATTTGGTTTTGACTACCTTGCACTCGAATCAAGTAGAAGCGATAGATGACTAATCAATGCAAGTGCGCTGTAAAAGTGAAACGAAATAATTACGACCGCTCCTTCAACTTTGTTATAACGAGGTTTTACTGTAGTTTGTATTCAACTGTAGTGTTATACTCTTTTGTTTCAATTATTCAATAACAGCAATCACACAAACCCTCTAGAAATAGGAGGCCCTTCTTATTATTTTATAGGACAATTGCATGACATAATGTTAAAAAAGGATCATTTCACACCAACTAAAACAGGATTCCAGTGGCCTGAACAAGTTTTTTTTTTTTTCCCATTATGTGAAAATGTACATTAGGGGTAAGCAGCTCCTAAATCAATGCTGCTGTGTGTGTTCAGATCTATTGATTCTAGGCACCAGGTCTCTCATGTTTTTATTGCAGATATTTTTAATCTGACTTAATCTTTAATCTGGCCACACAAATTACAACTGATCTGCTTTTGCAGGTCATTATCCTGCGACGATTTGGCACAAAACGACCTGCAGGCATTTTGGCGTACTGACATCTTGGATGGAACACACTTGAGTAATAGTCAGCTTTAAAATTTGTCATTTGGCTGTACATCGGCCTATTCAACACAATGTGTCTGTCATGCACCGTTTGGTGCACTTGGTATGGCAGAGCCGGTCCGCTGGATCTTGATGTGTTGTGTCGTTATGAGAGGTGCCCGAGAGATAACATAAGTTTATATTTTTTGCTACACGTACCTCAAGGATCGGAGTTTGCAGTTTGTTCTCCAGTACCTTCCGAGCCCGGCGTTTATTTCGGAGACCTGCATGCAGTTAAAAAAAATGCAAAAGCACTCAAAAAGAAAACTTGATGAGCAAAAAAAGAACAGGAGCGTAAAAAAAAAACGTTTGTGGCAGCTGGTGTTCGTCATGACATGCATGTATTCGGCAGCAACTTCAAGCTTTAGATATTATGTAACTTAGAGACACCTTTGTCAATAAGACACCGAGCTTTAGTACCATATCGAGTTGCGGCAGTTGAAAAAGGTTTCTTGTTAGCCATCTGCCTTGCCAAGTCCTCGAATGGCTTGATCCTTGTGCGAACTGAGTGGGCGTTAGAGCTTGTGGTCCTGAACTTCCGTTCTTCGTGCCATCTGTAATGAAAACGAGGAAAGAAATTGGTTTGACACAAAGTGACTATACCTAAATAAGTGTTCTTCACAGGAAGTTAGTATAAGTGCTAACATGCCACAGTTTGCATATGAAGGGATGAGGAAATTGTAAGCAGCTACGCTCATTTTCACCTCAAGAACCGTTGTAAGAAAGTCCTCATCCCCGTGGAGCACTACTAATTTTCCCTAGTATGTGGTGGATTGAGATACTTTTATGTGCATATAAGGTATGTTATTTGTTTTCTTAAAATATGTTTTTAAAACTTAGAAGCACAATGTTTTTCTCCTCTTACGACCATATCTTGTATAAACTACTTCATGCTGCGTATGAACTATGCGCAAAATGCACTTTTTTCTTTAAGTGAAACTGGGTATAAGTATTCAAATACTATGCCTCTCCTCCATGCATGCTGGGCAGCAGTCGAGGTGTCAAATCAGGTTTTGTACAGTTAAGGCAAGTGTAATAACACATGAGATAACTACTGTGCTCGACATCTTTCAAGCATGAGGGTATATCGTCAATTTCAAGGTGTTGTTTTTCTAGAACAAGGAATAAATGGTTTTCATTAAATTTGAAAGTATATTAGTGAGGATACAGATTTTATATTAAAAAGTCTCTTTTCTTCAAAAGGTATGAAATAAACATGCACTTCAACTTGCCTAACATTTTTTGACTGGCCACGGGTGGTCATTGCGATGTTAACTACATCATCAGCCAGGACCACTTCGGTGTTGTAAACATTCTTTGCCTCGCACGTGAGGTGCTTCATGAAGTCCTTAATAACTTGGTATGTTCTCTGTGTTTTAGTGTCAATCACAATGTGACTAAAATGAAAGAGTGTCCTGCCGACACCCATGCCTTTAAGAAGGCTGGCAAGATCCTCCTTTTCTATCAAGTCGGAAACTCTCGACAAGACGTTGTCCAGCACTGACTTGGCCTCCCGCTCAACCTCTGTTGTTTCCATGGCTCTTAAGATGCTGCTGAGGGGACAATTTACTTGTGGATAGCACGCCATGACGGTGGCAGGTGACTCCGGGGTTGTGTTCTTGTGACACAGGAGGGGCCCGGCTGAAAGAGGAAATTTCATTGAGGTGCCGTGGTAGCTGGAAAGAAATTGTCACTGGTAGCTGTTACATATTGTATTTCTTTTATATTCAAAGCGTGTAGTTAATATACATGAAGTGTTATAATTTTTCAACTAATCCTAGACAATAAAAACAGGACACTAGAACATTTCTGAATCATGTAAGTGAATAATTGGTAGTTCTTAAATAAAATTAACATATAAAACATCTTTTTTTCTTTTTTAAAGGGAAAGAAGTAACCCATATCCTTGTGACATGAGTTCTATAAGTCTCTCCAACCCCCTGGACAGCAAAAAATGGGATTTTATGCAAGAACCTATATGTAGTTACCTGCTTCATAGTTGAAATTACGATCCTTGTGCCACTTTCACAAAAATGTGACATTGCTGCCGCAAATATAAGTATATCGGCGCTTCCTCGTTTTACTAATGAAGGCACGAGGCGGTTGTCGCATGTAGAATCAAGATTGAAGGGTATCTCTTCACGTGCGCGAATTGTTCATGTGTGTCGCGGCGCTCGGTGCACGTTTTCGCTTCTGTGATTCAACCTGTTCAGAATACCTGGGAATCGATCAGAGATGGTCTTCTTCACGTCCCGCTTGGGTTTTTTTGATGGCTTGCCCAACTGCTGCGGTCTGCCCGTACACGTCTCGTCTGTGGCCTCGTTCAGAAATGCGCAAACAGCCGCGGCGTGTTTACAACAGCCGGTAACACCGGCTTTGCACGAGCACCTGCCGGAGTTCACGCTGCGTGAGCGGCTGCAGAGCTGTACGCGAAAAGAGAATTTAGTAACCTCAGTCTAAGTTAACTCAGACTACATTGGCCAGGAGCGAGCAAAACTAGTTACCTTGAGGCGAACGTCGTAGACTACATTGTCTTGCACCTGAGAGACGCACTTGGCGTTCAAAAAATGTTCGTCCTCGCCGATCACTTCCTCCACCGCGAACACATGGCGCACAAGTAATCTTCCCTTTCTGAGGTTCGCCTCCCTAAAAAACTACTCAAGGTTCTCTACGGGAAGAAAGCCGCAGTAGAATTTTAGCACGTTCGCCGCCATTGCAACCGGACTTGTACTGCTACCGAGGGCGAATTTGCGCCACGGCGCGGCGCCACTGGTATCGCTCCAGCGCGCCCCCTGGCCCAGCCGAACGATCGCATAAGACCGCAGGGTTAGACGACAGATCGAAGCAGGTGGACGAGCGAAGTTCGAGCTGGAACTGACAACAAGCAGACAAAGAAAAAAGCGGCTGCCAGGCGCACCCTTCCAGATCTCGATGCTTATCAGCGTGTAGCTCGCGCGTTGCTGCGGGTCACGTGACAGGGGTGACAAGAGAGGAGGGAGGGGGCGAGGTCAAGGCGCCGGGACCACCGGGACAGCCCCTCTCCCTCTCCCCAGGCATTCCAGTGAGATGTGTTTTTGTAGCCTCAAAAAACAAACGAGCGCGCGCGCGCGCACGCACGCATTTTAGCACGCTCGAACCTCGGAAATGGCGGCGGGGCGGCCAGAAGCTCGGCTTGCGCCCGAGCGAAGAAAGTACTCAGCGCGAGCTTGTATACTTCGTTTCAGCTTCGGTCCGAGCGCGGCCGATGTTATGAGCCGAAGGGCCAATCTAACACCGCAAAAAGCGCAGCGTCATGGCGTGCTCTCTGCGCTCGGTAAGACTAACCGGCGCAGGAGCACGCACAGAGAGACGGTGAATGCCGGCTGGTCCTATCAACTGCAGAGAGCTCGCCATGACGTTGTGCCTCTTTCTCTGTTTGATTGGCCCTTCGGCACATAACATCGGCCACGCTCGGACCGAAGCTTAAAGGGGCGGTGCAATGATTTTAACACTGAACGAATGTGCAGCTTGTATTTTTTATATTGTTTACTTCGGCATAAGTAAGAGAAAAAGTGCCACCATACCCCAAAATACCTCTATTTCGCTGCGTAATCGTAAAATAAAAAACGCTTTTTTTCCCAACCTGCGGCCACATGGTGGCCGCAAATGGAATCTGTGGTGTGACGTCATTCGGAGTGGTTTTTGTAAGTGATAGTGTTA